AACCTCCTGAGGACCTGGAACTATAGGCATGTGTCACAACATATGGCTAATATTTTGATTTATTTGTAGAGGCAAGGTTTCACTATGTTGCCCAGACTGGTCTTGAATTCCTGGACTCAAGCAATCTCCCACCTCGGCCTCCCAAAATGCTGAGATTATAAGCATGAGCCACTGCACCCAGCCCCTGCCCAATTTTAAATAGGAAAATCATAATAAAATAGTACTGCTTGTTGTGTAGACACAGATGGACCATTATGATAGGTGATCTTTTTCAACATAACTTTTTAGGTGATTGTGCAGGAGATCCAAGCTAAAATATAGAAAAGAATGATGCTTTTTAAAATCAGCGTAATTTTTTTTGTGTATTTTAGTCAACTTAATTTCAAAATAATTTTGTTAAAAAGTCTAATTCAATGCAACAAATCTCTATTCTGTGCCCACTATGAGAAAGACATTTTAGGGCAAAAATCAGACTTAAAACTTGGGTATAAATTTAAAATCCTAGAAATGAATGCACAGTGGTTGACAGCTTGGAATATGGAGCCAGGCTACTGTGTTCTGGATTTCTTCCATGGCTGCCACGACCAGGTGGGTAACCTTGAGCAAGTGATGTAACCTCTTGGGGTCATAGTTTTCTTTTTTGTAAAACCAGATTATTAATAGTAGAGTTATACATGCAACGCATTTAGGATAGTGCCTGGAATATAGTAAGTGCTCAATAGATGTTAACTGCTATTATTATCATTATGGGATACTCTGCATTTAACAAATAAGGTTAAATTCTACTTATTACCATTTCCTCCTCTCTTATCTTTTCAATATATATATATGAGGCTGAGATAGGGAGGAGGAGAGGGAGGGTAGAATGGATTTTTAGAATTTGTAGAAAAGAATATGTGTATTTAAATTCCTACCTAGCATTAAAGATAAGTCACATATTGATTACTGTGCATTTGATCATATAGGGCATATACTGTCAGACTGCAGTCCAGTGGAAGAAGAAATCTTGAAATTGTCTCAAAAATTTTAAAGGGTTCTGGGCTGTCATGGAAAGATCCTAACTAGATGGAATGGGTTTTGATTCCTAGTCCTGATTTTTTTTTCCCTCCCTCAGAGAGTTAAAACACTAAGGCATTCATTGATTCAAAGATCTTTCTGGACAGAGATTTTTGTTTGGTTGTAATTTTTTTTCTTTCTTCTGTGCTCAATACCTTTTTAAGCATCTCCTGTAGAGATGGTCTGGAAGCTGCATAATCTCGTAGGGATTAGATGTCTGGGAAGGATTTTAATTCTCTATCACTGATGAAGCTGAGCTTGACTGGGTAGGAAATTCTTGGTTGAAATTGTTTATCTTT